AAAATAAATTTAAAAAAGAAGAAGAAAAAAATATCTATATTATATTTTTAACATGCTCCCCGTTGAGTTAAAACTCAAAGCGTACGGAACCATTGACAAGTAATAGATTTAGTGGATTGAGTTATCTTCCCATGAGAAATAATTGCTAACTATAGTCTACGGGTTTCTATCAAATTCGTTCTACGTAACACAAAAAAGTTGGTTATTTTTTAATTATTCTATCTTACGCTATGTATCATAAAAAAAAAAATGGTTCTTTTCAAATAATATGATAAATGTTTTGGATTTCAAAATCCACATATTGATCTTTATTTTCAATTCTCAAATCATGTATGTTAGTGTCCTTCAAGTGTTCATGACAATCAATAATCCCCCTATCTAATATTTGTTTTCCAAAATATATTAAACATATCCGAAGTACGATCCGATCATATTCCTAATTCAAATTCATATATGCAAAGAAAGCATTCAATCACGCACTTATCACATAAAATTGCATATGCCACAAATATCATTCATAACACATTGTCCGTGTGTAAATTATGTAATGTTCAACTTATTGTGAGTCTCCCAATACTATATATAAACAATTAAATGTCTAAATGATGATCAAGCATTCAAACAATACAATAGTCATGCATATTTAATCAAGAGCACAAGAATTAACTAAAATTACTCAAGCCTTTAAATTAAAAACAATAATCAATAGGTTTTATCATTCATCCAATACACAAGAAATTGAATTTAACATTATTGTATTAAAATTAAACAAAAAGATATGAAAAGGCATCACCAGAGACACACACACACTCACACAAAAAGGTGTATAGCCTAAAAACTTGATTCATTGCACTTCAATCTTCATTTCAAGTTATGGAACTTTAAATCTTATTGTAGAATCTCTTGTTCACTCCTTGCTAGCCTCAATTCTATGAGAAAAACTCTCTTTTTTACATTCTAGACGGATTCTAGGTTCTAAAGAATGCAAAAGATACCATATTAAAACTTGCCGAATAAAGAAAAAGGAAAAAAAAATTCCCCAGTCGCAAAGCCATGCGATCATGACTATAAGGCTCGCGATCGCATGGTTTAAAGAATTTTTGCCTCTATAAATCTTTGCACCACCCACGCAATCACACGGTATTTTGGCGATAGCATGGGTCTAATTGGGGGTCAAATTTTACAATGTGGTCCTTAAACTTTTTTGAACGTGAATTTTGTTCCTTCTTCATTCCTTTTCGTCCCATTACTGTCTCTTCTCTTCTAAATGCCTTTTAGAACTCTTGAATCTTTGCAACGATGTCCGATCCAACTTTTCATTTGTTGCACTTTAGTCTCCGAACTTAGAATTTGATGCAGTTTATCCCTTTTGTCTGTTTTCCTCCAATTCTACCAAGATTTTCGATAGTTACCTATGAAATATAACTTGATAGAATTAAATCATATTTCATAAAAATCATCTACAAATATTTCAATTTAACTATCTATATAGGTGTACAAAATACACTTATCAAACACTCCCAAACTCGAACATTTTTTTGTCCTCAAACGAATTATAGCATAATTCATTGAAACACAATTGGTTAAATAAAATGTTGTTGGTCTCAAGATTGAAATTTCTATGTCAATACGAATACCTATTCAATGCAAAACACGACGTGTTTGTACGTGTGTGTGTGTGAAGACTTATGTAAAACATCACAAACTCATGCTTGGTTCAATTCCCAACCCTCATTGGTCAAATGTCTCCTTTATTCACTTATGAGATAAACACCCTCAAACTTATTATTTTCACTCTTCTCTCAAGGTGTGATCCTAGGTTGAATTTCAAATGATCCCAGTTCTCACGTACTCTCTAGAATGGATGGATGTCACTAGTAACAGTTAAACACTTCCACAACTATATTTTGACTACTCCAACTTCTAAAACTTAATTAGTTTAATTATCTTTTATTAAATGTTTAGTTCTTTCAAACAAGTGTTTGGAACTTAATCAAAATATATAGTACGATTTTTTAAATCAACTCTTATGTTTGGATTTCTCTCCATTAAACTTTTTAAATAACCCTTGCAGCAAATTTTTAGCCGATGACTTTCAAGGCATCAAGTTTCAAATCTTCTTGCAAACTTAATCACTCGAGTCATAAATGTTGTGAAAATATGTTTCACAATGAGAACTTTTTTTCTTCTTTTTTGCTATGATTAGTACAATACCCCTCATTAAACACTCGTTCTCAAAACCTGATCTCTAACTTAAAATTTTCCCCTAATTTTTATCTTATTCGCCTTAGACAATATGGCACAAGAATTTCACTCATGAAATCCTTAATCATATCAATTTTTTTCCTACATTAGCTCAACCATCTCCAAACTATCCTAAAAGTGGTTTAAGAATGTATGTAATAATGGTCTTTCTTGGATTTTACACTACCTAATATTATTTCTAGTCCAAATTCATATGCAAAGAAAGCATTCAATCACGTGATTATTATATAAGATTGCACACGCCATGAGTGTCATTTTTAACACCGATTGACCATGTGTCAAATACGAAGTGTTCGACTTATTGTGAGTCTCGCAACATTATAAATAAGCAACTAATTGTCTAAATGGTGATCAAACATTCAAACAATACAATACTCAAGCATATTTAATTAAGAACACAAAACTAACTAAAATTACTCAAGTCTTTGAATTAAAAATGCAATCATTCATCATTCATTTAATACACGAGATTTAACCTAGTATTATTGTATTAAAATTACATAAAATGATATGAAAAGCATTATCAGAGATTTCTAAAAAAAATGTAGAACTCAAAAACTTGATTTCTTGTACTTCAATCCTCAATTCGAGTTATGAAATTTCAAATCTTGTCATGGAATCTCTTGTTTGCATCTTGCTAGCCTCAATTCTATGATAATATATATATTCTAGTTGCAAAAGATATTGTGGAAATTACATAAAACCATACTTTAACTATTCAACCTTCTAAAATCAGATTCAAAGCTTCATATTTCAATAATCAGAAATATTATTTTAATCAATATTTTATAAAATAAATATTTTACTAATATACTCCATTATATACACATTACAAACCCTAATAATCTTTATAAGCACTTCACTCCCAAGACGATGTCGTATGTGTGTGCCTCTCTCTCTCTCTCTCTACATAAATGATTCTGCTGGCTACAAACTCCGGCGATGGACCAATCCAGCCTCGTCGCGATGTGAAGATGTGGTTGGTGTAGGTCCCTCGCCCAACGGTTGAAGCGATCTGACAGCGATGTGAAGAGGCGGCGGCTGAAGCGATCTGGCAGTGATGTGAAGAGGCGGCTCGATTCGTTGCAATGTGAAGCAGTGGAGGTGCTATAGGGTTGATTGCGCGGTGTTGGTGAATTTGGAAGGGCAGCGATGTGAAGCACTGGTTTGTAACTGCTTCGATTCTGTGGAGTGGGACAATGCAATGGTTTCGTTGGGAGTGGTGGCGGTGTAGTGTGGATTGTGGTGGTAATAGGGTACTACCATACTGGGTTGTTGTAGGTGCGACGGTGATGTGGTGGTGATGAGTGGTGGTGGTGGAGGCGTGTGGTTCTATGGTGGAGACGGTGGTTGTGTGGATTTGGGGGAACGGTTCTGTGGGAACAGTTTTGTAGTGGATTTGTGTGGTTGTGTGGTGGATTTGCTGTGATGGCGAGATGGTAGTGGTGATGGTTGTGGTGCTGCGACGGTGATAGTGGTGTTGGTGTGGTTGTGGTTGTGGCGGTGGCGGTGGTGGTGACAGTGGTGCTGTAGAGGTAGCGGAGGTTTGGTGGTAGTCACAGATTATTTGATTGATTGTGACTATTAAATTGATTAACCCGTGACTAATAAATAATATGTGACCACCAAAAAGATAAATTGTGACCAAGAATAGTGTGTGACCTAAAAAAATAATAATTCGTGACCTATAATAGTTGTGATCTGTGACTTGTAAATAACTTGTAACGTATAAATTTTTTATCTGTGACAAACAAATCGTGACTTACAAAATTTTTGAATTGTGACTATAAACAGAATTTGTGACCTTAAATTTTTTGATTTGTGATCGAAAAGCAAGTTGTGACCAATAATTTGATAAGTTGTAACTAAAAATTAATTCGTGACTAATTAATTTTTTTTATTTGTGACTGATGAACAAACTGTGACTTACAAATTTTTTGAATTGCGATCGTAAAATAATTTGTGACATAAAATTTTTTATTTGTGACCATAAAATAATAAGTGTTAATTAAATTGTTAATTTGTGACCAAATTGTATAAATATGTGACTTAAATATATTTAATTTATAAAAAATTTAATTAATTAATTTAATAATAAATAAATTTTAATAAAAATCTGATTTTTGAAGTTTGAAACTTATTTTTTTAATTTTGAAATATGTCATACTTAATCTTTTACTTATGAAATTTTCCCAAAGATATTACATCGAAACTTTCCGAATAAAGAAAAAGGGGGGAAAAATATTCCCTAGTCGGAAAGCCATGCGATCGCATGGCTATACGGCTTGTGATCACATGATTTAAGAATTTTTGCCTCAGTAAATCTTTGCAGCCCCCCCCTCCCCCCATGCAATTGCATGTTGGTCTAATTGGGGGCCAAATGTTGAAATGTGACCCTTAACTTATTCACTATAAATTTTGGTCATTCTTTATTCCTTTTCATCCCGTTATCTTCACTCTCATCTAATTGCCTCATAGAACTCTTGACTCTTAGCTACGACATTTGATCCAACTTTTAATTATTTACACTTTGTCCCTAAATTTTGAACTCGATGCAATTTAGCCCCTTTTGTTTGTTTTCCTCCAATTCTGCTAAGATTATTGAGAGTTACTTACAAAACATAGTTTATATAGAATTAAGCCATATTTCATAAAAACCATCTATACATGTTCCAATTTAATAGTCTAAATAAGCGTACAAAATACACTTCTTACTCTCCCCAACAAAATTGAGCTTGATACCTACAAAATTTTCTTAATTAATTGATGAATAAACTTGAACTCAACTTCTATCCTTATTGAGGCACATCACCTAAACAATGCTGATGGCTAGAATAAGGATCGAGAACATAATAAAGTCCCAGTAGTCCTTTTTAAGGAAAACCAGAAAACCTAGTACCTTAAAACACAACTTTAAAGAAATTGCAAATAGGCCCCTAATTGATACAAAATAACAAAAGACTCCCCAACTAATAATGATAACAAAATAAATAATAAAACATTGGATTGAACTGTATTTTCATTGCATCAGCATACATATTAACAGCAATCAGTTAAATAGAAGTTCAAACTCATATCGATTCTGAAAACTTTTCAAGTGAATTCTGAGTTCAACATGTTTCATCAGCAGTATTTCTCTTCTCAAATATTCTTTGCTGAGCCATTGATGCCTGTAAATTATTCATATACGAAGTTCAAAATCATCGGCTTATCAAAAGTTAAAATCAAACACACTGATTATGGATAGAATGGAGATTTAGCAGGAGAAACCTGTTTCTTCCAGTTAGTTAAAGTCGTTATAAGAGTAAGCAGAAAAGATTGTACTATTGAACCCATATTTAGTCCAAGCCAAAGGCCCTTCCCCTGTAAATGGAGCACGAAGCCAAGTACAGAGGCCATCGGAATTCCAACGAGGTAAAATGCGCCGAGATTGACATATGCCCCAAGATGCTGCCACCCGCTTCCTCTCGCAACTCCTAAACCCGAAAGGAAGAATGCTAAGTGTAAGAGTAATATTATTCAACACCACTGATATTTAACACTGGTGTAAATGCCAATACTTGTGTCATTAAATTATAGGTTCAATTAAATACAAGGATTTATAACTCATATATTAGGACCAATGATATGTTGACATATAAACTGGTGCTAGATTGCATTATTTTAAGTGTAATGCGAAATCAAGTTCAACTAATTTCATTGATTAACTGATTATTAAACCACTTTTGCTGTTTCTACGCATTCAAAACCATGCATGAGAGTTTCATCTTAGAGAGGCTTCCAAACTTAGGAAGAGATCTTTATGGAATACATTATTTCGTTTTTTAGTATTCGAAACAGACCACTCTTGAAAGACTTCAGTCTTGCCAATGTTTTATCTCATTCAAGTCATTAATGCCAAGGATTAAAGCTCCAATCCTTTCTAACCAGCAATAAGATAGAGAATGAAAATCGACAAGCAAACCGAACATACAAATTTGTAGTGACTCACTCACGCCGCCACAGGTTTACACTATAATGGAAAAGAGAGTACCAAGGTTTTCCTTATGTACTGATGCCACAAACAGAGTGGTGACCGACCAATGCTTAAAAAGAATAGAAGGGAAAAAAGTGCAAGTGAAATAAACCTGAAAGTACTGCTTGTATGCAGTCCATTGTTAGCAGCAGACAAACAAGAGGAGTAATGTCATCGAGATAATCCACGACTTCTTTTACATCACTGAATGCATATCCCACGACATGACGTAAGCAGAGCAGAATGGTGCAAGCAACAATCACCTCAACGACTGATAGAACAATTGCTGCCCAAACAGCCACTTGAGCAGTCTCCGAACAGCCTGCTCCAAGGGCATTTGAGACTCTTGTGCTACAAGATAGAAGGCATCAGATATATTGTCCACATACTGTGTGTTTGAGCTACATTATTTTGAAAGAATGTATTTTGGAATAGTAGATTATTAGAGAATGTGGTTAAAAAATAAGGAAAAATTTTGGATTTGCATGTAATGTTATTTTATTGAATTATGTGTGGTTAAAATGATGTAAAATCATTATTTATGAATGTATTTTTTCCAAAAAATGCAGCTCAAACAGGGCCTATATATATCAGCCCTGATGTTGCCCCCAGTGGATAGGATAAAAACTTCTCACTATTGCTGTGGCAAGAAAACCTAACTTATGATTATTCGAAACGGAGAGAACCAGAAGTAAGATCTCTTGCCACATCAGTAGTGAGAAACTGCCCACTTGCGGGCAAGAGATCAATTTTACTATATATTATGCCAAAAAAGAAAAAGAAAAGATTATACAGTGCAATGGATATTATGTTAAAAAAAAAAAGTTCACAAGAGTTCAGAGCCAACCTGGCAGCAGCACCAATAGAATATGGTATGAAGTAGTGCAATGAAGCAACTAAAAGGCTGTTTCAAAAAATAATTATATATGAATATGATAATCTTCTGAACTTCACAAGATCAAATTCATTAACTCCGAAAAATTTAGGGGAAAAAAATATTTAGTAACAAGATAAGTCATACCACGTTGAAAGAACTGAAGTCTCGAGTTGGGGATTTGGCAAAAGTCCAGAGAGTAATACTATTATCTCACACGACCACCATTCGAGACTAGAAAAGTTACCACATCCTCTAGATGTTAGAATCCACACAGTATGAAAATATGCAGAAAACAGTGAATAATTAGGCTCAAGAAAAGGAAGATGACTGAGGTTACCAAACCATAACAGCAGACGGGACAGCAAAGCTGAAAAATTCCTTCATACTTGGCAAAACAATGTTTGAGAATGAGAAGCGGGTTTTCTTGCACTTTGAAGAGTACTTCACATATATAACAAGCAAGATCACATTGATCCAATATGATAAACCAATTGCAAGGGCTGCTCCAGCATTTCCCAATTTCGTCTTGAAAACTAAAGCCCAACAAACCGGTACATGGAAAACTAATGCTGCAACTGAACTGTAAAGCATTGGGAGGATCAGACTCTGAGTCTGCAGGTACCGAATTAGAGATTGAAGAATTGCGTAAGGAACTAGAGTTGGTATGAGCCAAATTGCATATTTTCGAGCTACGACAGAAATCAAAGGATCTTGACCGATCAATATGAGCAATTTATCCATGAATATCCACAGCAGAGATATTGGAATACAGACAATAAGTAGACAAAGAATTGCACTGTAAGTGTAGATTCCTAGCTTTTGGTATTGCTCTGCTCCATAAGCTTGTCCACATAGAGTCTCCAAAGCACTAGCCAATCCAAACTGCTCGAAAATCCAATAATAAATTAGCCTGGAAGCTCTTTTTACAGGGATTAGACAAAAATAAACAAATAAATAATAAAAGACTTTTCCTAGTTCTGTTCAGATAAAAGAGAACTACGTGAGCTTAGTCATTCTCTTGATTAAAAATGTCAAAAAAAATTATTTGATAAAATGCTTAGTTAAACCAGGGATTCAACAGAATGAAAAGAATACTAATAATCTGTGCAGGATACTCTATCATAATCAAGAAATAACTTAGGACCGTTGATAAAGAAGATTAATTCAAGCCCACAATTTATCTAGGACCATTAATTTCATTTTGCTAACTGCTTAATCATGAAAACTAAAATCTCTAATTAAAAAAATCACTTTAAGAATGAATACTTTACAAGAAGACTAAAGCCGGAAACATTGGTGAGAGAGGTGGCGACCGCCGTGCCAGAGAGTGAGAGTTCACCAAGATGCCCCACCATCATCATCGACGTCACCCGTGAAAGGTGCTGAGAAACTGTCACCACCACCATTGGAACGGCTATGTAACTCACTTTCTTCAACTCTTCCACGAACAGTTCCCATTTTGATGCTGCTTCCTTTTCTCCATGCTCCTCTCTTATCAGCGGGGCCTTGTCCATCTTCAGCTTGATCAAGAATTTATTTAATTTTATTATTATTTTTTTTTCCAGAAAAGAGATGTTAAGTAGAGAACAGAGAGCAGTCTACTCGTGGAAGGCCAATGAAGAGACAACACAGTGATTTATCTGTGAAGGCATGAGAGTTGATTACATTTTTTTTAAGAGTAGTGATGTGTGCATGATAATAGTTGTTAACGATCGGCATTAAATTTCTTCAAGTAAATTGGAGCAATGGTCCCCAACCTTTGACTTTATATCAATCTTATCCTCAGTCTTTATTTTGCAACGTTTTATCTCAGCTTTTGAATAATTAGTGAATAGTGATATATGTCCCACAGGACAATTTGATCACTCTTTAAAATGAAAACTCTGCCGTGGTCTTTAAATGAACAAACCAAAGAATAAAACAATGAAAGAAAAAAGAAAAAATATTTCTTTCTTTCACTCAACATACCATAAACAACGGCTACAATTTTAGTGAAGCAACGCCATCATTGTCAACTGATTTTTTTATTTTTACTTTTACGAAATGATTTTTTTTCACATGTAATATCGTATTGACATTTTGACGTGACAAATCCAATGATATATTCTATTTCTTCATTTACAATACGAAGTTATTACAATAAGTTTTCCTATCAAAACTATGACAAATGATGGAGAACCATGATAGTCAAGTTTTAATTAGAAATCTCATTAGAAAAATATTTTAGCCATTTTCACTGGTCAAATGAAGAAATAGTTTGTACGCTCAAAACGAGTCCACCAAGGTAAGAAATATTGAAAACTTCTAACGTCAAAAAATGAGCGTGATCACTACTGTTGTAGCAATTGAGTTGGGTGGGGGAGATAAGCTATTTTTTCATTTATTTATTTTTATCTAAAGATATATAGAATTGTCGTTTTAATAATAATTTAACTTGTTAATTAAAGAGAACCGAAATTTTTTCCTTTAGGACAAATCTCAAATTATTCAAAGTTGAGGATAGAAATGTTACGGATTGAAGGTTTGGAAACAAAGTTGCCACGAAGGTCAAAAGTTGGTGACCATTGCTCTAAATTAACCTAGCAATCTAGACAACGAATTGAAGTAAATGACCACATATTTTCATGTAAAGAATTGAAGTAGGTGACCAGATATTTTCTTGTACTTAGCATGAACCTTAAGTAGAACATTAAAGTCTTTAAAAATTAAGGTGGCTGTGACAATGATATTGAAATAAATATAAAGTCAACGGTACATGAACATTTAATAGATCCATGTATTTTCAAAATATGAGGAAATTTTTTTTTTTAATGTAATTAATTGTCCAGATTTTGATAGCTTGAGACAAAAATTCATAAAAAAAAAATAATAATAATAATAAAATACTTAATTTCAATGTAGAACCGACCATTACTTCTTGTGACATACATGGGGGTTACACTTGAAGGCAACAATGATACTAATCTTCCACGTCGACAAAAATGTGAAGGAATAATATCTCGTTGATTCAAAAAAGAAAATAAATAAGTATATGACCGTATTTAAATAACAAATATGTCCTCGTCCATGTCAAAAGCTTCACTTAATAGTATCTAGCTGTCGTGCAATTTGCAATGACACTTCCTCCAACTGACAATATGGTAGTGGCTCCACCCGCAACACCCATGAACCTCAAGCCGTCTCTTGAATAGCATGTTTAGGATAGATAATATAATGGACTCTAATATTAATTGATAGAGTATAACGTTACAAATATGAACTCGTGATCAATAATGTCATCACTTCAAAAGTGGAGTTAGAAAAGGCTAAAGGCATGTAGATAAAATAACTCATTGTTGCTGAGTTTATTGGGATTGAAGATTTCGTATTTTTTATGGAATACATGCCAGTTTGGAGTTCAAAGTTCATTATTACCCATTTATGAAATTTATCTTTGAATAATATTAATATATGTAATTCACTTCTCGATCCTTGGTTCCTTTTAATCCCTATGAATGCCAGTGCTCTAACCAGCTCGTGAAGGAGAATAAATATTTTATATACTTGGATACGAGACTTTACAGATGACAAAAAGCATGCTTCTGAAGTGTTTATAGACGGTTTATAAAATTATAAATAAATAAAAATTAACGATGAATGAATTAGTGGGTATAGTAAATATGAATATCCATAAAAATTGATTTATAAGGTAAATTATTTGTCAATATTAGAAGAAGTATCATCTGTCAATATTGATAAGTTAGTGGTAGGGCAAATTACACTGAATTTGACTATCACAATAACTTTGTTCACAAAATACTAGGATTCAAGAACAAATATCTGATCCACCGATTTTGTGGTTCCATAAATCAACATCATAAATATTAGAATTACATGATTTTATAATACCATCCACAAGCCATTCCTCACATTAAAATCACTTATTTAAATATATTTAGGCTTGTTTGATAAGACTTTTGAAAAGTTAAATTTTTTTTATAATATTAAAAGAATTACTTTTAAATATGTTTAGATAATTATTGAAAGTACTTTATCTATCTAAAAGAGTTTTTCGAAGAAACTAGTCTAAAATAATTTTATTTTTTATTTTTTCAAAAAATTCTTTTTAAAAATACAGAGAAAGGGCTCTTTTGATGCTGCTATAGGCATGTGCCTCTCTTATTATTGTGCAAGGGAATATCAACATCATCCCTTTAATATTCACCCAAACCCTAATTAATTAAAATAGATATATACATGCATTACTATATCAAAAGTGCTACATGTGCAGCAACTTGTACAACAATTTGTACAGCTCTCTCACATATAAAGAATGGGGTTCGAAATTAAAATAATCGCGGATTCCACACATGCGAAAGGGTTGGAATTTTTACAGCACTTGGGTTCTGTACTAGTATCTTTATTATTATTATATTGTCTGTATCTTTTCTTTGAACATTTTCTATTGTCAATTTGTACTTCACTTTGCCAACCCGCTCAGAATCTCTCAGCATCACATATTCTACCAACACACTATTTTGGGAATAAGACATGCCAAGCAATTGCCAGCAAATTAAAATAATCTATAGGCCGAATAAATTTCATTGTTAGCATATTTCTGTACTTGCTTAATTTATTTTTCAATGATTAGACAGTCTTCGCATAACTCTGTGTTTCACTTCACCGCCTTTGGCTAAGCTTAAAAAGTTTGCTTATTGATGTAAAATAGAACAAATCACTTTACTGATGAAAATAGAACAATTAACTAGTTACCTATTTTCACAATAAAGTAGAATTACTTCTATAATAACTTCTTTTTTTACTTAGGGGAAAAAAAAAAAAAAAAGGAGGGTTTTTAACATATTTGACAATAAAAAAAGTTACTTCTTAATAACACTTTCTTATTTTAAAAGTTAAAAGTTTCCAAACACGATTACTTTTATCTAGCGGGTTTAGCCAAAAAAAAATATGGAGAAATTTTTTTCCATGATCTTAGAAGATGTTTGGTAGGGATTAAAAATTAGATTTTTTATTTTTTATTTTTAAATAAATTGTGATAGAAGTTTTTGGAATGTATGGTTGAAAAGTTGTGTGATCCATGAAAAATATGGATAATATTGATTATTTGACTTTAATTTAAATTAAAATTAGATTTTAATTCAAACCAAACAGGATCTTAATTTGTGACATTTTTTAAATTTTCTCTTATAGAGTGATTTATAAAGTCCTTTTTATTACTATGTTGACTACTCAATCATTACTATGCTTCTGCAATTTCATTTACTCAGGGAAAAAAAATCTTAAAAATGAAATATTTAATTCTAAATGTACATGGAGCATTTATTTTATTAAGGAAAAAGACTGCAACTCGTCACATGCTGCAGATTCTATTGAAATGCTTATGATGCCAACGTACCACATTCGCGTCAAAACCTCACAGTGATAACTAACAAAATATCTATCTTCGAGGTTTATATTATTTGTCAATTTTTCTGAAAAAAAATAAAAAAGTATTACAAAATATATCGTTACTGAAAAAATTACTAATCTTTAAAGAAATTTAATCAAATTGTCACTTTTGCATTTAAATGTAAATTATAGCCTCTCCTTTTTTCATTTTCTTTTTTTTTTTTTTTCTTTTTTAAAAAAATGGTACATATCATTTTTCAAGAAAAAATTCAAATTCACAATACAATTTCTAGTACATTTGATAGTTCTAACTATCTCAGAAGAGATTTATAACCATCTTCGAAGATGAAGATAGTTCGACTCCTTGAAACAGTTTCATCTGTTGACACTACATAATATTTGTCGTTAAGTCACCATCACTTTGTCCAATGTAGTTGAAATACATATTTAAACATTGGACAATCTGTCATTTGATTCAATAATGTAACATTGCTTTCACTGACACATAAATTGATAACTACTTGGGACTTTATCTGACTAACATTACTCGAACAAAAATGGAAGTATTTGAATCCCAATTTCGAGCTCAACATTCACAATCTTAATTTTGAAGTAACACCATTGGCAAAATGCTTTGATTCCCATTATCTCCTTTTTCAAGGAGATTCAATTATGTATGAGTGATGACTCAAGGATTAATATGATCCACAAAACGTGGCATAAAAGCAAGTAGTCTTCAAAAGTCAAGACCTCTATAAGCACAAAAAAAATACTATGCAGCCCAATTGGAACAATAAATTCAATTAAATGTGACTCTATTAAACCACGAGAAATGCTACATGTATTCTAGTGTACAGCCCCCTCACATGAGAGAGAGCCCAAAACCATTTTAATCACTGTGGACCCCCTCTTATATAATAGGGGTGTACACTACACTTTAGTGTACAAGAAGCATTTTTCATTGAATCACATTGACAAGTGCTAAAACGCCAATTAATTGTGCTGCGTAGAATAATCTTTGAGCACAAGCTTTCAACGTTACTTTCTTTTTTCTTTTTTCTTTTTTATTTCTCAATGTTACTTAGTTGTTTGACGAAAGAATTATTAACACACAATAATTTTATGAGTCAAGGATTATTATGATCCAAAGAAAGTGAGAAAAAAGCAAGTAGTGTTCAAAAATCAAGACCTCTATGGGCACCAAAAAATACTATTCAGCCCAATCAATACAATAAATTCGATTAAGCCTATGTTTGTTTTCCATTATTTATCCATTAAAATAAAAAATATGACAACTATCTATCACATCAAGTTATCATATTTGAATTTTTATCTCTTGCGGGACCTAAATGTGATTCTATTGAACCACGAAAAATACTACATGTACACTAAAGTGTATCTAGTGTACAGCCCTCTCACATGAAAGGGAGTCCATGACTTTTTTAATCACTATAGGCTCCCTCTCATGTGAGGGGTGCACTACGCTCTAGTGTGCAAATAACATTTTTCATTGAACCACATTGATGGGTGCTAAAACGCCAGTTTGCTGTGCTGCGTAGCATAATCTATGAGCACAGGCTTTCAGCGTTACTTTCTATTTTTTTATATTTCTCAATGTTACATCATTGTTTGACAAAAGAATTATTAATACATAATAATTTTATGAGTCAAGGATTAATATGATCCATGGCAAAAAAGCAAGTAGTCTTCAGAAGTCAAGACCTCTATAAGCACAAAAAAATACTACACAGCCCAACTGGTACAATAAATTCAACTAAATGTGATTCTACAAAACCACAAGAAATGCTACATGTACACTAGTGTACAGCCCTCTCACATGAGAGAAGGCCCACGAATTTTTTAATCACTATGAGCCCCCTCTCACGTGAGAGGCGTACACTATACTCTAGTGTACAAGAAGCACTTTCCATTGAACCACATTGACGGGCGTTAAAATGCCTGTTAGTTGTGCCGTGTTGCATAATCTATGGCACAAGCTTTCAATGAAGGCAAACGCTTCAATGGGTTCAAAAAGCACATCATATGCCAAATTTGTTGTATAAAAGTATGAAAGCGAAAAGAAAAAAGGACCAGGCAACTCTATACCAAAAGGCAGTAAAATTTAATGAAGTATGTGGATCTCCGCCGTGCCTATTTTAGCATTGGAGTGGTTAAAAATATTAGTTGTGTCAAAATGGAGTTCACAAGGGACGGTGAAATTTTTTTCCAGTTGATCCACAAGCATAGTTATTAAGGACGGACAACGACAACCAGAAGCTAAGTAATCATCATATTTTTTCATCAAATGGTCTATAATACAAACAACAAGCATCATGTTTTACTCCATTCACAAAAAACAAAAATGGCTTACTGTACAATATACATGGCAAGAAAGTTGCAGCTGCTCAAAGTTCACTAGAGTAAAGGCACTCGTCTACAAGTTGACGAAGATTTGGGATTTCCAAGGCTGCAGCAACTCTTTCTTTGTCATTTAACTGCTTATTAACTGCAGCAAAGACAAAAGGAAAACTTCAGAATTAGCTTGGAGTAGAGTAGGCAGTAGAATAAATGAGGCTCCAAAATGGAACACAAACTCATCATGCAACTAAGACAAACCATGTTTAGAAGGATAAGCATACAAAAAAGCACATTTTCAAACTGGTGAGTTGAAAAAATAAAAGTGGACGTAAAAGAAGGATGATGAAAAATATAGTCGATCATCCACCTGAGTTTGCTACCACTCTATGTGCCCAGCAGAGTAAAGTAAGTTGGATTTTAACAGAACCAACAGGAAACAAATATTAGATGGATCCTTCCTGTGACACAACTAAACAACACTACAAGCATTCATCCTCGTATATTAAATCCAGGTCCACTTATGCCACTTATGCCAACATCAAGAATGCATACCCAGAGTCAACCCCGAACCATCATCATTAATAAATTTGGAAGTTCATATAATTCCAAAGTTCTCTCCCATTTTAATCTCCAACAATGTTCATAAATTGAAATTTTTTATCTTAGTGTTTGCTACTAAATATCATCATAGCTCCAATCAAGATTCCTGAAACGTTCCAAGTTCTGCCCAACTTCCATCTCCGAAACACTAAGCTCAAAAGTAACTCCTTACTTTTAGATGAGATACTTAAAACCTCTGTTCATCTGTCAAAACAATGTCTCACAAGTGCGGCCACCACCTGAACAACACCACCATCAAGCACCTGTTCAAGCTTTTCTTTAAGAGTATTTAGCACTTCGCACACATGACAACTAAGCAGGCATGATGTGGGAAAGGGTTAAGGGATAGTTCCCTGGTAATTGAACACTAAAGAGGCAACAACAGAAGCATTCAACCCCAGGAGACATGCACCCATGTGCAGTAATGTATACAAGTGCTCATACAAGCACCAAAACACAAATTTGCCTGTGTCATATGTACATACACATAAACATGTATGCTTGTCAAAATGGTTCTCTTACACATTATAGGAACTGTTTAATCATTGAGCACATTTTTAAGTAATGGCTTAAACAATTTTATCTAGTCGCTCAATATCAGTTGTTTAGTTGTCTTCAAGCTCAAGGAAAGTTTTCACTACATTTTAGACTGACTCCTGATGGAGTGGAGTTAAAGCATAAAAATCAAGAAGGGCTACCAGAATCCTATTAAGTGTGACATAATATATGTTTTTTGAGTCTCTCTCTCTCTCTCCGTGTGTGTTGGTTGAGGTTAAGTATCACATAAAAATTTAGTCCTCGGGCAAACTAGTAGGTGTCCATACTCCATTCATCTCATCCTTGTAAAACTCATAAATGACTTGCCAAGGGTCAGATAGACTCATCATATTATAAGGCTATTGGCTTCTCACTACTTCATATTGATCAATAAACCTATCAATCATCAAAACTAAAAGTAGGAGCATCACTAGTAATGTGGATGAAAAAGCATTCTAGAATTTTCACCTGATTCTTCATCTGCATGAGATCCAGGGGCCACTTTTATATCTACCTGAACATCATATGTGAACTTGTTAATTCAGATAGACACAATAACAAATTAGGACTACTCCCAAGTATCTATTGAATTAAACATGCAAATACAAAATTATATGTTCATACATGTTTCAAGCATTTAATGATTATGCTCATATGGTACTTCACCCATGTATCAAAATCATTTTGCCTTGTGATAAGGGTTCAAGTTTTCTACAACAGTTATGTTTAAAGGATAAGAGGAGAAAGGTGAACAGAAGAAGATGAGAGCTGAAGATAAAGGTGAAAAACTTTCAGCTTTGCAAGCCAAAAAGGTCAGACTAGTCGTACTTCCTATCTTTTTTATTGTTTATAGGAGAAAGTTAATATTTGATTTCAAGCAAATGTACTTGTTTACGGTTAAAAGGCAAAAGAAGAAGGGTAAACAACAGATTATTTTCCTTTGATTAATTATATTAAGTGGCTATCATTGCTTTCTTGAACTTTGTTTGCTACAGGTAAAGGGGATGGTGTTTAAGTTGATATTTAAGGTTCAATTATTTTTCTTGCTAGCTCAACATTGCACTTCCAAAAATTTCAATATATCTGAAATTATCTATATCTTCTATTACAAGATAGCTTCTCAAAATAATGCAAAAACCATCTCAAACACAACAAAAATAAATAAAGAATAAATAAACCAATTGGTGCAAATTTCACAAAGCTTAAATTATAAATTAAGCTAGTTTTATTCACACATTCTATAGAACCACAATTTGTTACCAATTTTTCATCCACAATCTGTGGGACTCACAGCTTTAGTTTTAAATTTAAGCGCTCCCAAACAAGCACTTAATTAAAGAAAAGATTGATGATTTAGGACATCTCTTTTTTGGTACCATCATAATTTTGAATTTTAATTAGTAGTGTATTTAAACTTTTAAATTTTATCTTTGTTGAAATTTGAATAATTAATAGTGATTAGACTAGCTTGCCCACTATACAAATATTTTGTGGAAAATGGCGTGCGTGCTCTACTTTTTAAACAGTAATTGGGGTAATTTCTACTTAGATAAGCAACACTGAAATGGATGTCCATTATATCAGAATGAAAAAACAAATATATTGTTAATTTTTTGGGAGGTTAAAGTTTCCAGTTTCCTCAAATGAGTGTAATATGTTTCTTTTTTACTTTCTTCGAGTTCTTTATGTTACGAATAAAAAATGTGTTTGTAAAATTTGGTATCGAAGTCGGGCGTTAAGAATTCTGCAACTCCATTGCCAAATCACTGCTTGTGAACTTGAGCTATGGAACTGTACAACTAGTAGATTAGATTAAGATTTGTTGTTATTATGGTTGTGCATACTGGTAGTCGAGTGAGGCGGCAATGAAGAAAGAGCTGATCAGCTTCTACAATGCTGTTCAATGGGGATGTTGATGTTGAAGCGATATAGAATGTTAGAATCATAATTTTTACTTTTAATCAGTGGATTATTTGCATTTTGTAATTTATCTTCGTTGAATAAGCCAATAGTGGTTAGGTTAATGTTTGCCCACTCTACAAGTATATTGTGAAAAATTGGTGCATGCACACTTTCTAGATATAGATTCATATAATTTTCTATTCAAAGAAGTAAAAGTAATTAAATGGGTGTTCATTGTATCAAAATAAAAATAAAAGTATTTAATTTATCTTTTGGGAACTCATTCCACAAAACCTAAACCTCCTAAAACATCAACGAAAGGTCTGTTTTTTCATTTCGAAATGAACCACACCAATTTTATTATTTTTGTGCACTTAAATAGAGGAAATATATGAACCACTATTCCAAAAACGTAATGCACGTGCATCCATTTTGTAAAGAATACTCAACTAGTTATTCTAACGACTGTTGACTTATTCGGGTAAGATAAAAAATAAAACTTAAAATAAATGGCCTACTAATAAAAATTAAACTAGAAAAATTGATCATAAAACTACACCATGCTTTCAACTCAACATCTACGTCAATCAAAATTGTCAATATGGACTTTGCGAAAGCCTTTCCCTCCTTATCTGCTTTACTTGACAATCCGTATCAACGTGATAGTATTATGTACAAACATAATAAAACCCATCTTATTCTAACCTACAAGTTGCATCATTTCATGGCTTGAACGGAAGAGGTGGTGATTTGGCAAAATGCTTTTCTGATTTGGAAATTGGCAATGGATTTCATAGCCTCTATATGCCTCACTCTGATATGAAATGTTACGAGCTCTTTTTATTGGTAGCTTAAAGAACTAGAACAAAGAAGTTAAAAAAAAAATAATAATAATAATAATAATAGGCTCATTTGAGGGATCCCATACCTCCCAAAAGATCAAAAAAAAGATCTGTATTTTCATTATGAAATAATGCTCACAAATTTCTTCATTTTCTTATTATTAAATAGAGAAATACATAAACCACTATTCCTAAAACATAGGGCACAAGCACTAAAACACCCATTGTAGAGTATATTTGTGCAATGGACAAAACTAACCTAACCATCATTACTGACTTATTCAACTAAGATAAATTACAAAAGTCAAAATAACTGATCTAATAATTAAAGTTCAAATAGAAAAAGAGATCGTAACACTGCCTCAAGATTCTGTCTACCATCATGGAAGTTACTAGTCAGCAAAATTTTTAGCTGTCTTACAAAATATCTTTCTAAATAACATAAACTGCTTTTTTATTTATTCGGCTGGAGAAATAGAACACAAAAGATCGACTGTTTTTAGGCGGTAGCGACAAGAGAATATAAAAGTTCTTCTACATGGCATTAATATTATCATACTTATCAATAAAGTGCCCAATAACAACTTCACTTTATCTCCAAGGTTATTTTTCTCAAGAGTTGTAGGTTATGTATAAAACATATAAACTAAAATGATTGCTAAACCCTACATATTCAAGTTCAGTTCGTTGATAAAGGAAAATCTTTGATATGCAATAAAACCACATGCTAAAATAAAGTTAGATCGATCGATACTAGGAAAAATACAGCCAGCTGAAAATTAAGTAACACATTTACTTGATTGCTCTACAGACTGAACTTAACCTTAAAATGAGGATGAAAGCAATCCTTCAACTTCTCTCTTAGGCACAGACCAATTACAGTCGCCATGCTGCAATGCTGGATTGTTGGAGTAAAAGTTATCCTATGAAACAATAGAAATTCAGTAATTAGAAAATATTTCTAATCATGCCTAATTAGAAATGAAGTCTGAAATTAAGGTATGGATAATATCGTATTAATTGAGCTAATACTAATCACCTCACTAATCAATTTGTTCAAATTAGTTAGTGGAAAATTCTACAAAACAATAATCAATTTATAAAAAGCTTGGACTAGACTTTTTAACAAAAGTTGATCTTTTAAGATATATAAATCAAAGCCCAAAACGTTCTAGCAATTCAATCTGTTTAAATCTCAAACGATTTTAAAAAATCCAAGATTGGATCTCACAGATGATCCACCATCAAGCAGCAGGGTTAAATTCTCACGTTTCTTAAATACAGAAACAATAATCAGGAGTTAGACAACTGCTACTCACAAGGTTGAACTTATACCATGGAAACCAAGACTTAATCTGCTCCTTTCAGGTTCATATTAATTTAATAAGAATAAGAAAGAATAAGAAAGTTAGAATTTCCTTACTTATTTAATACCTATGGAAGAACCAAAAAAAAAAAAAAAAAAAAAAAAAAAAAAAATAATAATAATAATAATAATAATAAAGTTGTATAAATTTCATGAATTAATACTCACAGAATGCGTCCGAGTTTCTCATCAACAGTTATGGACTCCTCAGAAAGCACACTGAGCTGTTCAAGCGAATACGGATGCTCTGGATCCCTTATATCCCTCACATATTGTGTCAATTTTAAGTTAAAGATCACAAATCAATTAAATTCCATCAAACCCACCAAATTTTGATAATCAGAGTCAGCGTTCACAGAAACAACTTGACGACCTAAAAAACTAGTCCAAATTAAATTCAGATCAGATACAATAGAATAAACATGTGATTCTTGATCATAAAAAATGCAAAAGAAAAAGGATATCATAGATTTCCAGAGGATCTATGGCATCGTCATCATGAGGTTCTTCAGTGCGGGCAACCCTTTCCTTCTTAGCGTGGACCACCGGATTCGCGTTGATTAACCCCAGAGTCATTTCCACTTCTCTGTCTCTGTCTCTGTCTCTCTCTCGCTCTCTGCCCCTAGTTTTTAGCCGCCCTTTGAATCTAATCACATTTTTTCGTTGCATCTAATTTCAGCACGAGCGATGTATTTAATCGAGACTTTTAGAGATTTAAAAAGTTTGGGTGTATTCAATTGAAACTTTTAGAGACTCTCTAAAAGTTTGGGTGTATTCAATAGAGTCTTTTATAAATTTTTAAAAAGTCTCTAAAAGTAACGGGATATTCAATTGAAACTTCTTAAAAATCTCTACAAGTTTTGGAGTATTCAATTTAGAGGGACTTTTAGGGAATTTAAAATTTCTTGGACTTTCAGAAACTTTTTAATAGAAAATATAAATAAGATTTTTCTCCCAAAATTTCTCATCCATAGAGAGATTTCTAAAAAGAGTATGCTATTCTTATTTCCCTCTAGGTTTTTCCTCTATCTCTCCCAATTAAGTATTTCTTTGAATCTTTGCAATGAGTTTTCTTCAAATCAGGTTATGGTAAATTTTCACTAGTTGATCTCTATCTCTCCATCTAATTTCAAAGATTCGTTTTTAAGTGAATGTTGTGAATTCTCATAAATATTCCTCGATATCTCACATTTAACACTGTAAAAAGCATATTTCCTCAAAAAAAAAAAATTCCTCAAAAGTCTTTAGTAAAAATCTCCACAAATTCAGGAAAAAATTTTACTAATTCCTACCAAATCCATAGAAATTACTTAAAATTTCATAAAGTCCACAAAAATCACCCACTTAAAAAAGTCTCCAAAAGTCTTTAAAAATCTCAATTGAATACATCCACAATTCTTATTTTCAATCAAACAATCTATCATAAAATAACATTATACACGTAAATCAAAAATTTTTTCTTTAACCACTCATTTTTCAAAAAAATAAAACTATTCCACTCATTTTTATTTTCAAAAAATGGGACAATATGAGAGCTTAGCTTTACTCACCAACTTGAACTGACATGTTTGTCCAAGCTTCAAAAGTTTACACAATTACTCATAAGTAACTTTTGAGGCAAATCATTTTCTATAATCCAAGTAAAATAAAGTGTGTTCTTTATTTCAAACTAAATTAATAATTACATTCAAAATTAGCTAAATTATGTTAGATAAATTTGGACGAGCATGAAAATTTGTTTAATTAAAATTAAAATAGAATATTTGTATTTCAGGATGTTTAACTGTTGGAAAATACGGACAATGAGTCGCCCATATGGAGTGACCCGACCCACAGAATTTTATAAGGGTTGGAGGGTGTGGTTTGAATTTAAATTTCAAACTCATAACTCTCAAGTAACCATTTGAAACTTCCATATAGAAGTTATGGAAAGGAAAGGAAAAATGTAAGACATGAGAAAAATTGTGAAAAAATTCGTATGGAAATTCACCTCAAAATTGGAAAGTCTCTAGAATCAAATTTTTTGGCATGAAATCTTACAAGAAATGACACTTAGATTGTGGACAATAATCCCCTTCCATTGTGATCGGGTTTTGGACCATTGGAGTACAAGAAAATGCAAATTTTAGAGATTTGAAGGTAATGTGATTCAACCACACAAGGATCTTGAAATTCATCTTTTCTAGTAAGTTTGTGGACCCAAAATTCATGTCAAAGCATACTATGATTTTTCCTACATTGGTATCAAAGTCATAAGGTTGAATTCCTTGCAGTAATTCATGCTTAATTATGTCATTACATGATAGAATTGGGTTATGAATATTGTATGCAAAGTTTTGAAACCTTAGGTGATATTTAGTGGCATCATTTGATAATTTATTGTCATTTGTTCGTTCATCTTCATGCAGTAAGATTAGTATTGTTAGAAAGATCTTCTCATAAGCTTTCCAACCATATAAAGAACTCAAATTTTGGACTTAAAACGAAGAAGTTATGAGTTTTTGAAATTTGGATGATAATCTGAATTTTAAGCGTAAAACTTAGTAAAACTGTGAAATTCATCAAGTGATAATTTTTTATACATTAAGTTTCATGCTGTTTTTTGGTATGGTTGGATAGATCATCTCAAGACCTTTCTAACGATATAAAAATAAATAATTTTGGACTTGAGACGAGCAAGTTATGTCATCCCAAAGTTTAGATAAAAATCTGCTTTTTTAGTGAAATTTTGTAAAATCAGAAACTTCATCAGATGATAACTTCTTCCACATTGTGTTTCATGATACCCATTTGATATGGTTGGATGGATCTTCTCGAGACCTTTCCA